ACATATAGGATGCATACACCCATCTTTCAGGGACTCAAAGGTAAGAGTAATAGTTTCTATCTGTGGTTGGGATAGGGTAAGTGTGGTTGGCCGAAGTTAATATTCTTTATCTAGTTAACTTGGAGATCACCAACCAAGCCAAAGGCTGTCACTTACAAGAGGGTAACAAACCTGAGACTTCACATGGTGAGCCCTGCAGAGCTCAATACTGGACAGAGAATCATAGAGATTTAGATGGTGGCTGTCCACCGAGGAGGGGTAGGAAAGAACTTGTTGCATGCTCTGTAAAATGGAACGGACAATTGGCAGTGGCTTAATAGGCTCTTCAATTATTTCTGAACTCTGTGAATTTCCATTTCTAATTCTCCTTCGGGGCTTTGAATATATATAACAACATTCTTATTTATTTATACTAACTATTTTTTTTTTAAAGATTCTATTGGGGAATTGGGGGAGGGGAACAGACAAGTTGCTGTTGTTTTGTTCTTCAGTCTAGTTGTGGAGGATGTTGCTTCACTGGCCTAAGCTGGCACCATCATTGCGCTCTTCCCTGGTGAGGCAGATCAGTCGCCGGCCTCTGGACGGCTGCTCACGGTGGCTGCTGGCCACTCATGCTGGCTGCCAGCTACACATGGTAGCTTATGGCAGCCCACTGCAGCAGGGGACTGCAGCCTACGCTGTCGCCGGCGATCCATGGCAGCCCATCCCCAGATCCAGCTGCCATTCACCATCTTAGCTGCAGAGTGCAGTGTCACTGGCCCTCATATGTGGGATCCGAACCGGGGCCCTCTGGGGTACCAAGCCATTTCTTAACCAATGTGCCACTCGGCCGGCCCCTAACTGTATTTTTGTATATGATAAATATTCAAAGCCTTTTACTTGGAGAAAAACTACTGTTGAACATGGGAACCAGCATGAACTGCAACATCCTCCCACCCCACATGCCTTTTGCTGTCTATGTCCTAATCATCCCCCACGTCCTCACTAAGACTCTACTTTCTCTGTGCCTAAACTGAATCATGCTCAGGACTGGTTAGGGCTCCTGCTATGAGCTCCCCAGCACCCCTATACTTCCTGCATAATAGCTCTTATGAGTATACTGTTTTGCAGTCATTATTTGTCTATCTCCTCTATCAGACTGTCAGATTCCTACGGACAGAAATATTGGTCTTGATGATGTGCCTGGACCAACAAAGGCTTTCAGTGAATATTTGTTGAATGAATCTAGCTTCAGAGCCTTTAAAAGTAGAAAACTAGATGAGCATTAAGTTTAAGGTGCTAGCACCAAGGTGTACCTAACCAATGAAGTTCCTTTCAAACGTCCGTTTGAAATTTGGCATAAATTAATCCAGTCCAAATTGAGATCATGCACACCAAGGGAATACAGTATCAGAGAATAATCAGAGTCAGGCAGCTATATAAATGTAGCCTGTTATGGCTTCATATTATGTTAGCTTAAGAACAATTAAGCTAGAGCGATCCAAGGTGGCAGAGTAGATAAATGCTATGCTTGCCTCATCCCATGAACACATCAAAATTACAACTAAATTATAGAACAATCAGCCCGGAGAACCATCTGAAGTCTGGCTGAAAAGTTTTATAGCTAAGAATATAAATAAGAAGCCACATCAAGACTGGTCGGAGGGGCAGAGATGAGAAACAGGCCAGCCCCAAACCTCCATGTGGCAGATGAAAATTGGGAGAGATAGTTTAGCTACAGAGGTTCCTTCCAGAGGAGCGAGGGACTCCATTTTCACTCCAGGCTCCCCAGCCCGGGGTATTGGTGCCAAGAAGAGGAGCTCCCACAACACCTGGCTGTGAAAAACAGTAGGGATTCTGATCAGCTGGTCCATCGAGCTGGGATGGAAGACTGCGGGAGACCCAGATTACCTGTGAAAGGGACCGCACACAGACCCACTAGATCACAGGCACTTACCCTGGGTATAAGTGGAGGGATGGTGATTCGGGGGACATTGGAGGTGTCCATACAGGGAGCAGACTGAGGTGTGTGGCTTTGGGCAAAGGTTGAAAGAGAGTGGCTATTTTCTGTGTGGGGTCCTCCTCCCACAGAAGCCAGCAGGTAGGCGCCATCTTTCCTGCGTTGAACCCACCCCTAGCTTACAGCCAAATCTGAATCTGATTGGTCTGGTGAGCTCTGCTCTTCCACTCCGCTCACTGAGACCCTGCCTCACCCATCTCTGTACTTCACAAGGCTTTATCTGCAGCTGAACCTTATGGGAGTCAGCAGGTGGCAGCAGGCCTCAGGTATCCTGGCTTTTTACGGAACTACCCCAGACCCGGTACTGATAGCAGCTGTTCTAGGTTCACAGACTAGATGAAGCAGAGGATCAAATCAATGATTTGGAAGACAAGGTAGCAGAAAACATGCAATCAGAACAGCAAAATGAAAAAAAGAATTTTATTTTATTTTATTAATTTATTTACTTATTTTTAAGATTTTATTGTGGAATTGGGGAGGGGAATAGCGTTTGGGAATCAGGGAAGGGGAACGGACAAGTTGCTGTCCTTTTGTTCTTCAGTCTAGTTGTGGAGGACGTCGCTTCACTGGCCCATGTTGGTGTTATCATTGCGCTTTTCCTGGGTGAGGCAGTCACTCGCCAGCCATTGGATGGCCACTCACGGCGGCTCACGGCAGCTCACGAAAGCTCACTCCCGCTGCCGGCCAGCCCCACTGCAATGTTGCCTGCGACTCACGGCAGTCCAGCTCTAGGTCGAGCTGTTGTTCACCATCTTAGCTGCAGAGGGCACAGTGTCACTGGCCCTCATGTGGGATCCGAACCCAGGCCCTGCTGCTCAGAGCTGGCGTCCCAAGCCAACTCCTAACCAATGTGCCACTCAGCCGGCCCGAAAAAAGAATTTTTAAAAATGAGGATAGTTTAAGTGCCCTCTGGGACAACATCAAGCATAACAATATTTGCACTGGTTCTCCTCATTTGTAATGTCTTTCTTTCATCTGACTCCCTTCAAGAGTTTGCACTTCGTTTAAGCAGTTTGAATATGATAATATGATACAAGTATATAAATGTTGAACAACTGTGGTGTACACCTGAAACTGAAATAATGTATGTTAGCTATATTTTTAAATAAAAATCTTTTTAAAAATGCTATTTACATCAATATTTAATAAGTAAATAAGCATGCTATTAAAATGCAATGTGTTCTAATTGAATTCACATTTAATGACCTAAAAACTTTGTTTTTTGTTGTTGTTTTAAGAAAAAACAAAATCCAGATTCACATTTCATCGGTGAAAACACCCAGGATTGGAGAAATAACAACACCACGCCAAAGTCTCAGTAGTCACTGTAACATCAGCTGTGTTGACAGTTTTTATGCTGAACATGCTAAGTAAGCACTGGCCTGTGTTACAACCTCTGAGCTACTGCTTTGGCATCCTTAACAATTGAGAGTTCACTAAAAAAATGATCAAATGGTGTCACTGTAACATAAAATGTGGTATATATTAAACTGTCTATGGTATAACAAAAACAAAAACAAAAAACCCCAATTAACAAATAGGCAGAGGACCCAAATAAACGTTTCTCCAAAGAGGACATATAGGTGGCCAATAGACATATGAAAATATGCTCAATGTCACTAATCATCAGGGAAATGCAAATGAAAACCACAGTGAGACACAACCTCACACCTGTCAGACTGCCCATCATCAATAACTTAACAAATAAGTGTTGGCAAGAATGTGGAGAAAAGGGAACCCTTATGCACTGTTGGTGGGATTGTAGATTGGTGCAACCACTATTAAAAACGTTCTGGAGATTCCTAAAAAAATTTGAAATAGAACTACCTTTTGACCAGCAATTCCACTCCTGGGTATTTATCCAAAGAAATCCAAAACATTAATTTGAAACAATATATGCACCCCTATGTTCATTGCATCATTATTTACAATAGCAAGGTATGGAAGCAACCTAAGTGCCCATCAATAGATAATTGGATAAAGAAGTGGTGGTACATATATACAATGGAATATTACTTGGCTATAAAAAAATGAAATCTTACCATTTGCAACAACATGGATGGGCCTAGAGGGTATTATGTTACGTGAAATGAGTCAGACAGAGAAAGCCAAATATCATGTGATCTTACTTATATGTGGAATCTAAAGAACAAAATAAATGAACAAAACAAAAAAAAGAAAAATTAATCTTGTTTTGAATAGAGGTGAAAGTCCTGGTAGAAGGGGATGAAATGACAGTCTAATGAAAAGAGAGGAGTGGACAGTCTTCATGCAGATCAGTTTGGTGGATTAAAATATTCATAATCCATTCATTTAATACATATTTGATATCTACTTCAAGATTAGATAGAGCTTTGAATCCTAGGTTAAAGAGTTTAGAGGGGATATAACAAGTAATAAATGATTCGGGTATGCAAACAACGTGACAAAAGCTGGAAACTGTATTTGAACATGATTATTCTAGCAACTAGGCAGGAGTCGACCTAGAGTAAAGAGGAACGTATGGGTGATACACAAAAGCAGAGAGAATCTGTTGAAGCAGTGGGAAAAAGTCTTTCTTCTAGTATCTTCTCTGCTGGCATGTCACAATGTCTGAAGTTCCTGCCATGGAAGGTCCTCTTTTGGTTAAAGGTACTATCTTTGGAAAACCCTTGTTAAAATACAAGAATATGCTACTAAGTGATGGTAACTCCCAACATAACAGTACCTCTGGCTCCCAAACCTGATCTTTCCTTTCCCCTAGGAATGTGCTTCTCAGCCTCCTCGCAGTTGGTGTGGTCATCACCAACAGACTGTAAGGGAGATATGTGTCCACTTTCACATCATGTCTTTTAAAATAAAATGCTTAGGGCTGGCCCAGTGGCTCAGTTGGTTAGGAGTTAGCTTGGGAGTACGAGCTCTGAGCACCAGGGCCACCGGTTCAATTCCCACATGGGCCAGTGGCGCTGCGCCCGAGCTGAGCTGCTGCTGAGCTGCCAACAGGTGGCAGGATGGCTCAGCAAAAATAAAAAATAAAATGCTTGCCTTGGACTTTCTTCCTTCCTTCTTCCTGAGAGCTCGAAACGAGACATGGGAGAGATCTATCTTTAACCCGTGTCCTAAACTAGGGCATGGCAGAGCCTCCAGACAAAAAGACATGGGCCTCTGAGTTACCTCCTGAGCAGAGTAGCCCTGTCGGCATCAACCAGTCGGCCAGTTTCATGAGAGGGAAATAAATTGCTATTTTCTTTTAAGTGCTGTATTTTTTGTTTATTATAGGACCTTACCTTACCCTAATTAATGTGATATTCATGAGGCTGACAAAGATTTGAGATTTTGCTTCTCTCACCTTGAGAACAGGGAGAGCCTAAAGCTGTGGGTCACAAGAAACAAATAAGAAAGGGCTAGACAGGGCACTCATTAGGCGGAGGCAAGCTCAGATGGGCCTCTGAAACGAGGACACGGGACACGGTCTTTTGTCATCTAGATATGCACAAGAGGGAGAACCAACAAAGACACTTTGTGAACTTTAACATTTTGGGGGGATCAATTAGTTACAATAAGGGGGGCAGAAATGGAGAAGAGGCAGATTAGCACACAAAGTGAGTGTAGACACTGATGAGGGGTTGCATTATGGTTTTTAAAAACAAAAAAGAAAAGAGGAGCCAAAACAAACTCAAGGCATGAAAGGCTAGGTGGTCACGAATCATGACCATGAGACAGTAATTCAGAGCAAGCTGTTGCTAGCAGAACAGGATTCTGAAGTTGGTCTTTAGCATGTTAATTTTAAATTGTGATAGTACATTAAAGTGTATATGTCCCTATACAAATTAAGATATATGATGAAGGGGTATTTGTAGAAAACAAGAAGGTAGATCAGGTTGGACATTACCACCTACAGGAAAAGGGTAATGGCTAAAAATGCTGTTGGAAGGAATAGCTATATTTTGGGTTCTATTTCATTTTAAGCTTAAACAGTACATATTTCAACATCCACCTTGATAAAAGCAGCTTCTGGTAACAGCTTTCTAATCATTATAATCAGCATTCTCTCTTTTCACCTCTAAAGTCGTATGGAAGTCTCTCCTTGAGCTTCTTCATCTATATTTTGAGGTTCAGCTTTCTGGAGAAGCTTGGGGCCCAGCAAACCAATCAGCAGACTTCCAATTGGGGCTGTGATGAGGATGGCCAAAAATGCTACCGTCAACACATCCATTCCATATTCTTCTAACTGTTTATCGCCATGTGATATTGCTGTGTCCAAAGCCACGGATCCTATTGCAGCCTATAAAAGTTTAAAGGTACAGTTGGGAAGATAAGACAAGCACATAGAAAAAAGGTGAATTATTTTATCATTTGCAAAAACGAATTGCTGGTTCTTTTGCTCAACTAAGAAAGTTCTATTAGTCTGCTTTCAAAGTTTACTGAAGTTGGTTTTGATTATTTTAAACTCCCCCTGCCCTTGCATGGGGAAAGAATGATTATTCATATGTACCCATGAATTTGCATAAGGTAAGGTTACAAAATATCAGGCAAATGTATTTCAAAACACAAGGCAAACACAGATTCATGATATTAATTAACTATAATGTGATTCTATGTACTAAGTTTCTCCTGAGCCAAGATGAAAGATGCTGGTCATTTTATTCTTTTATCTTTAGGGGTTTGGAATTAAGAAAGAACAAGATGAAAAAATGCAGTGATACTGGAAGATGGTGAAGTTTTAAATGAAAAAACATAAGAATGTGTATTGCTGTAAAGTCTAAACTAATTGTTAAACATGAAACTTGAAAAGTGGTAGGCACCTTCAAAACTTGAAGTTAATATTATTAGGTATTTGGTTAACTCTTTGCCTCAGGAGTTGGTGAAACATTTCATTTAAAGTTTATCTACTGGGAAGTCTTATAAAAATTCTCGTTTTCTTTTAGAATCAAAATGCAATATTAGTGCACATGGGAAAATAATATATTAATCATTCCCCTTATTCCACAGAACACAATAATGTTAGCCTCTAGAGCAGTGAAGCAGAAAGTATCAGGGTGCAGGAGACACAATGGCAGAGACTGCTAATTGTCCACAAAATCTGAAAGTTCCTTTCCCCCTCTATAATAGAACTGAGTTTTAGCTGGCACATTTCTGTCCAAATAGGAACTTTTTTTTTTTTCAGCCTTCTTTGTAACAAGAAAAAGCTACATATCTAAGTTCTGACCACTGAGAAGTGAGTGAAGTGTTAAATGCTACTGGTAGGTTGTTCCCTGAAAACAAATGGACACTTGTACCTTATTCTTTCCCCACTTTCCACTGGATGAGAAATGGTGAAAGTTGGACTCATGGGTGGAAGGCACATGCTAAGGATAGTGGTCACCCTGCCAGCCCTGGAATGCCCAAGCAGGACTGCTGGTGAGATATAAAAAAAATAAATAAAAACCTATCTCATTTAGTTCCTGTATTGAGGCTTCTTTGTTACTGCAGGTTATCTGGTACTTTAACTAACTCAACATTTCATGAATTCTTGGTAAGAAATGCACACATTATGATGTATAGTTGACCCTTGAACAACACCAGTTTGAACTGTGCGGGTCCACTTACACATGGGTTTTTTTCCAATAAATATACAGTGGGTCTTCCCTGTCTCCAGGTTTTGCATCTGTGGGTTCAACTAACCATAGATTTAAAACAGTGTTTTCCAGTTGGGAATCCATGGATGCAGAGGGCGACTGGAGGCACTACTCTACGTCATTTTAGATAAGGGACTTGAACATCCTCAGATTTTGGTATCCAAAGGGGGTTATGGCACTAATTCCCCATGGATATGGAGGGACAACTGAATTTTGGGGTAGTCAAAAGTTATACGTGGATTTTTGATTGGATAGGGGTTGGTGTTCCTTAAGCCCTGTGTTGTTCAGGGGTCAACCGTATGTATTTTTTTTCAGTTCTCTGTTGTGTGTTTCTTTGTATGTGTATGTATGTTTTGGGGTTTGTATATATGCTGAGTTGTGATTTAAAATATATTACTTATAGTATTCTATGAACGAAAAACTTTGAAAAACAACTAATATAGAAAAAATATACAAGAAGTCTTGTTTCTTGTGCAGTGGCAAAAGGAGAAAAAAATTCAATACAATGCTTGCTTCACAGAACATACATTATTCAACATTTCCTAGATAATTTTTCCTTATTTAAAAATTTGCTTTAATAGTAGGAAAGTTTAGAAACAAATCTTTCATATCAAAGCTACTAGAGTGATTATTCTGATATTTACCTACTAAAGTTACCAGAAGTAGTATGGAAGCTGAAGACACTGTGAGGGAGAAATGATTTCACTTCTTGTGTTATATTAAACTCATAGTATTCTTAGCTATTATGTCTGGGGCAGCTTTGAAAGTCTAATGGGAAAAAAAAACTTCTCTGGAATAATGCCCAAGCTCACAGCTACACAAAATCTAGCGTATACACCCCAAAGCTTCCTAAATTAAGAACATTTAATTTTCATTTCATGAAATAATAATTTGCATACTTAAATAATTTCAAAATAATCAGGGATGGAACAGTTAAATCTCACTTGCTATAGTTAGTCTGGAAAATAGATAATACAATCAGGAATATATTACATTTGCAATCATAATGTTGCAATTCTAATTTAATTAGCACAGTTCTAATTTAATTAGCAATTATAGGCATTCTACCAAGTTCGTGGTCAATAAATTCAAGCACCTGTTAGTACCTTGTTCATTAGAGTGCACAAATTTTAGGTCATGCAATTAAGACATTTGACAGGAGGTTCAGCTACAATAGTTTCAAAGTTTTAATATCAACTAATAATCTAGGAAATCAGTATTTTCTGAGTTGTTTGTCAACAAATCTTTCTACTTTATATATAAAGATTGTGGTCAAGCATAACTGGTCATCAATCATATTGGCATTGAAGTATTTCTAAATTCTAAAATGGACCATTCAATTTCTGTTTCACGCTCTTCTTAGAAGATATTGAAATGAAAAGAATTAACAAATATCTCTCTGGGGATTTAGAGAGCTCTGACTGATGAAAATTCAAACTCTTTCCTGCTGTTACTTCTGCTTTCTAGTAGTATAGGGATTTATTGGAATTATTGTTGTATCGATGACCTGAATAAATTTAAATGAGCTGCCCTGTTTAAGGAGTCAATTTCCCAAAAATAAAACTTTTAAAGAGTAGATTAGTATAAACTCTTTTCATAAATCAAATTTCAATTACTTACTTTCACCAAATTTGAATAAGTCCTCTTTGCAAAATTTCAAGGTATCATATAGAAATAGAAGTTAAAATGCTAAGCCATCTATCCATCATTACCTGGACTGTGGCCTTCGGAAGCCATGCAAAAGAAATAAATATCTTTTCCTTTATGTTAAAACCAGCAAAACACACCATCAGAAATGTAGTCAAAACTCGTATCAATACTGCAGTGCCCAGGGTGGCAACACTAAGGCCTGTAAGAAATACTCAATTTTTAGACATAATGAAATACTGGGGGAGAAACTGAACCTCATGGTTATGGATTCAAAATACTATCAACAGCAATAATCTAAATACATTAAAAAATTTAAAAGACAAAAATAGGCATAATTCATCAAAACATCAATATTAAGGAACAATCAGGCCATTTGCTTAAAAGAAGGTTATTTCCCCTAAATTAAAACAAGAAATTAATTAAACATATTTAAATTTTACAAAAGAGATTTGAATGTTATTTCTCTTACGCTTTATTCAACAAGAACTTATTAAATGATAACTATGTATGACAGGATTTGGATTAGGACAGGGTACACAAAAATATATAATGTATAGACTTTGCCTCTATGAATTTCAAAGTCAGAGGAAGACAGAAACACCAACAGCAAATTAATACACTGTAAGGTAAGTGCAGTATAAACATACTAGTAGGAGAGCAAGAAGAAGAGAAAATTAGTATTTTCATCAAAATGGTTGAAAAGTCTTTGCTAATACCAGAGATGATATTCAAAGTATTTACCAGCCAGTATAGAGGCAATCAGCCAATCAGAGCAGAGCTAGCTGGGCACTGACCAATCAAAATAGAAACTGGCAGTATACACGTGTTTCAACATGGTCGTGTGTGCACTGACTCCCCACTAGCCCTGGTTCACAGGTACAGTACTACATTCAATCCTTTAGAATTCTTTGCTAATAAAGGTAAATTAATCCTGATTTGCAAAATATGGGATTGTGACAAGGGCCGCTGTAGGCTACTGCACCTGAGAAAGGCATAGCTAAGGTGACTGCTAAGTAATAGGGTGACTTTTTAAAAAGGTAACATTTGTTAAGTGTTTACTCTGTGTCATGTTCTGTATTAAGCCTTATGTGCATTACTTAATCTTTACAACCTGTGGGGTAATTTTTCTCATTTTACAGTTGAAAAAAAGTGAAATTCAGAAAGGATAAATAACTTTTTCAAGTTGAAAAGGCTGTAAAACATCAGATAGACATTGCTGGAGCATCTACTATGAATCTGCCATATGGTTTCCATATAGAAAAAACTTTGTGGCTCTTTGCTGAAGGGTATTTTTCCTAGGTTGGTAGATTTTCAAAAGTTATTTGTTGCCTGAAGTACAGGATACAAGACAACACCACTCCCAGGAGGGAACATTGAAGGTTTGGGGAGAGGATGATGAGGAAGTTTTAGGCACACTGAGTCTGAAGTTTTGTAGGACTTGTAAGTGGTGTTGTCTAATCAGCAACTGGATATATTGATTTAGAGATAAAGATTTTAGAATTATATAGTTTATAATTGAAGCCACTGGGTGTAGATAAGCTCAGAGACATTATGTAAGGTGAGAAGCATAGAGACTTTGGAAAAAACTTAGAAGAGCAGCATTTAAGCCATATACAGTGTCTAGGAGGACTCAAAATGCACTGGAAAATATGAAGTTTCAGAATTCAATGTAAAAAGAGTTTCAAAGAGGTCAATAGCATCAAATGCTGCTGAGAGATCAAATAAAATAAAGACTAATAGGTATTCAGTAGATTTAGCAATATAAATCTTGGTCAATATAAATATGGTCAGAGCAGGGCTGGTTGTGTGATGGAGCAGAAGCTGGACTGAAATGTATTGAATAAAGAAATTAAGAGTTGAAATGAAATAGGGGATATGATCACCTCTTTGGAAAAGTTTGAAAAGAAGAATAGAGAGGTAGAGTGGTAGGTGAGGGGGCAAGTGAAATGAAGAAAGGATCATTTTTAATTGTGGTGAAATAACACAACAAACTTTACCATCTTAACCATTTTTAAGTATATAATTCAGTAGTATTAAGTTAAACATTGACATTTTTGTGCAGCTAATCTCCAGAACTTTTCATCTTGCAAAACTGACACTCTGTACCCATTAAACAACAACTCCCCTTTTCCCTCTCTCCCCAAAACCTGGCAACCACCACTTTACTTTCTATCTCTCTGAATTTGACTCTGGATACCTCATAAAAGTGAAATCATTCAGTATTTATCTTTTTGTGATTGGTTTATTTCAGTTCGCATAGCATCCTCAATATCTATCCATGTTGTAGTATATCTTAGAATGGAAGGATATTATTTTAGGATAAGAGAGATTAGAGTCTATTTAAATTCTGAAGAGGAGAAAACTGACAAGTATATTTAAAGATGTATAGTAAAAGGAAGAATCTATATGTGAGGTATAGAAGAAGGAGGCAGGAGATAGAGTCCCTAGGATGGGTAGAGAATATTGTGATGAGAGGAAAGAAGGAAATAATGAGTATATATGTGCAAATTAACTTTAAGTATAGTGCTATAAATCAAGAGTTTTAATATGATGGCTTTGAATGCATAAGATGAATAAAACAATAAATGAACAAATAAACA